CGTGAGCTGCCAGCTTCCCGAGGAGGATATTATGCGAGAGATATTAATCACCAACTCATCATTGTGGTAGGTTTCTTTTTATCTTAGTTTTCTAATATTTCTAAATCACTGCCAGTTTAGATTTGATTTCACATTTTTATTTTTTGCAAGCAGCTGCAATTATTTTAGAAGTCTTATGTTGTGACTAATTCTTCATTACTTGCATATCATTTTTTTGTTGGTGATGGTGAACATAATCTCAGTAGTTATGCTACTGGATTCATTATATAAACACCATCACAAACAAGCTCAGAAATAAAAATATAACACATGATGTTCATCCTTAAAAGTTTTTTCTCCTACCTGCTGGCCAAACCCATTTGCTTAATACAAAAGAATCAAACATAAAACTGCACTATACCTCAGTGAGGAGAGGGAAACAATGAAGTAAGGAAATTAAGACCTAAGGCAATTCCACTAATACTCTCTGCCCATTTTAAACAGTGGTAGAAAAAGATGGATTAAGGGAATAAGCCAAACTTTAGTCCAGGCAGTGAGAAGGCTATCGCCACCTGCTGGGAGACAAAACACACTGGTGCACTTACAGACATTTTCCTTTTTATACTGATGATGTCACAACACTTTCCTTTATTTCCTGTTTCCATCTGCTGGACAGAAATCACATTACTCAATAGCTGGATTGGTCTACTTGGGCATACAAGAAGTACTTACCAGCAGCATTTTCAAACTAACAAAAATCCGTACAGTTCTCTTTTTAAGCACTGTTTCATGTTATCTGATGATCTAATAGTATGTCTAAATAGTTTATTTATATTTGTCAGGATATTGCCGGGGTAAAAAAAAAAAATTAAAAAAGATGTTATTTTGATTGCTTAAAAAGAATTTCCTTCAAGGAAAAAACAGACGTAAGCTAACCAAAACATCAGTGCACCACACATTTAGCACTCCCAATACCTGAGGTTACGTAGAGGACAAGAACTAAACCATTGCTGTGTGTTTCTGGAAAAACAGCACCAATTATATGGGGCAGATAATTATACAATTCCAGAATATTTCTAAGACTACACAGTTTGAAGGGGGGCTGGGGGGGGTGAGGACACACAACAGTTTTGCTGCTCCTTTATTTAAAAAGCTATTTATAATTAGATTCAAATCATGACTGGATTCACCCCACCCTTTGAGCCATTCTTTCTGTTGAGTTTTACAGCAGCTTGTGCACCTTCAGCGCTAAGATTTACATTTTATAAAGCAATATAAATGAATTAATATGCAAAAAAACACGTTTCATTTAAAAACAAAAATTAGTATTTTTTTATTCCACTGGACTGAGGGGACCATGACTTGAAACTGTTGACATGCAAAGACACAAATAGATGGTTTCCCACCCCCCACACCCCCGCCCCAAGAAAGATGAAGAATTTAAGCTGATACTAGACAAAGTGTTAAAAATGTTTTTTCTTAATAGGAAGCTTCAAATTTACATGAGAATGGACCTTCAGGTACCGATCTGCTGGCATAGTACAAGTTAAAAAGGGGCCATACAGGCTAATGTAACTATTTAAGTTATCAATTCTTAGTACTGATGACCAGAAAAATCAGTGTTTTCAGTGACACCTTGTTATATTAGAGATATAATCATTATATTATGCTGTTGCTCATATTCCATGGTAATTCTGATAAATAGAGTAATTTAATCAGTTTTAAGAAGTCATTTAATTAATTTTCTGGATCCACAGCATCCTTAAATGTACCTAAGCCATCTAACGACAGACAGCTGTCAAATCAAATCTCAGCACTCTCCAGTGATGGTGATTATGCAGCTTTCCAAGTTACACTGTCCCAGGGCTTAAGCAGTCTAATATTTTTTTTAATGTCCATTCGAATCTCCCTTGTTGCAAAATGAGACCGCTTGTTCTATTCTTGGTAAACCAGAACAATCGATGGCTATCCTTGAACTGCCCCCTACGTATTTCAGAACATGCATTCTGTATTAATTTTGTTTCTTTTCTAAAAGCACCTAATTCATTCAAGCTGTATACCCAGATATTTACATACTCCTATGTTTGTGGCTGAGCTCTCATATCTTTCTTAAAGCAGTGGCCAAAACTGGGCAGAGCATTTCAACTGCATCTTTAATAATATCGAGCAGAGTAATTATCCCCGTATCTTACGTAACACATTCTTGCTGATACACCCCAGAAGATGATTTGTACTAGACGGCCAGCTGGTATTTATGTCACATTACAAACACCAGACTGTCTTCTGTACTACTGTTGCCCAGCCTCAGGTGTGTACTCTGCTGCTTGCCTTCCCCACACCCCTCAGAGCCTTGCACTCAACTATTTCACAACTGCTACAGCCAAGGCTGCCACTGGTTATCGCATCCCCTGCCTTGCCTGCAAGAATCAGATTTAGGAAAGCAGCATCCCTAATTGCCCACCTAGCAGCTACATTAGAAGTCATTCCCAGAACTCTCCACAAGCCTCCTGGATTGCTGCTCTTCCTGTAGATATCAGGGAGGTTTAAGTCTTGTACAGGACCCAGGGTCTGTTCTCTGGACACTTCCTCAAGTTGCTTAAGAAAGATTTTGTTCACTTCCTCATCCCGCTGTGATGTCATCCTGTCCAGCCTCTTGAACAAGGTCTCAATCATCCTGCTACCTGCTCCATAAGACGGACCATCTATTTATTCAAGCTGTTCCTTCACACAAAGGTCAAGCCCCTCTCTTCTTTCCTGGGTATCTTTCTCAGAAGGCCTCTTCCCATCCATCACACAACACTAGACACATTAGCTATCCCACTTTATTCCAGTAATATGCTTGTCTAAGCCCACATATGGAGCTCTGGCTCCTCTTACTTGTTTCCCAGTCTGCATGCCAGTGTGTAAAGGCACCTTCCAACTGGTTTTGCAATTCCCAGCAGCACTCTCTATGCCATCACTGAACCACATATGTAGCACTCTGTCCCTTCATTTAACTGCAAGCTGTTATCACCATCCCCTGATATTCCTAATTTGAAGTCCTTGTCACCAAAGTGCAAACCTGCTGGCAAAGATGCTCCCACCCCACTTTTTCAAATGAATCCCATTTCTCACTAGCAGTCCTTATTCTTTAGTAATGGATCCATGGCTACAGAATTAAAAAACACTGCCTTTGAAAACAGCAGTACAGCCATCTGTGAACCTACAGGATGCATCCACTACTACTTGAGGCTTTCCCCTTCACCTGTAAATCAAAGCAAATACACAGGCTCCCATGTTCTTCACTTTTGTCCCCAGGTCTTTGCAGTCACTCTTGATCTGTTCTGCATCCCTTTTGGAAGTGTCACTGGTGCCCGCATGAACAAGTGACAATATGGTAATAGTCAAATAGCCCCATGTAAAGCAAATATCTTAAAAACAGCTACATCAAAAGCTGTTTGTTCTTTCTCACATTATCCCCTCAGCTTTTTAAAAAACCTCATGATCCCCAAAGTTATCAGATTGTGACAGACAGAATTAATTTTGAATCACTCCTCTTTTAGTCACTTGATTTCAAAACATGCTGTCATTATGTGTGTATTAGGTAATAATGTTCTTTTGCTGTTGTTTTGGCTCTTCGATCTACCATCACTTTGAGAGGAAATTAAAGTATTTCCCAAGTAGATTAATGGTTATTTCTGAAGCTCCTACCCCACCCCCCCCCAAAAAAAAACCCCAACCCAACCCACACCTGTTTCTACCATTAGATAGCAAAAAAAGTATCAAATAAATTTGCAAAGTGGTATTTCCCTTTAAAATGCTAATCAGAATACCCAGCTGCAAACAACAAAAAAGGCTCACTATTTCTGCTAGAAATTACTTCCAGTATTATCTAAACACCAGCAGATAAAAGTCTCAGAACTCAGTTATACATGCAAAAATGTATTTATGTAATGCATCCATGTAAGTACATATTATGAACTAGATTTAAAAATGAAAATGTTAATGGTCAAGATTTTAAGATATTTACCTCAAAGATCTTAATCACTTGTCCAACTTCTTTTACTACACCATTTTCCACAAGAGTTAACTAAAAGCTAACTGATACTACTAACAGTTTTACTCTTAGTCTGTTCAGTGCCCTTATCCTGAGCCTCTAGTCATGATTTAAGTTAACACCTGGAGTTTCTACTCAAGGCCATGCTGCCTAACTTCTTGATTCATAAAGGGCTTTAGCCTGAAGCAAGACAACTTCCATTTGACACTGGGTGGGGAGTCAGGGGAAAAAGAGGCCATAAATTAGGTATGGTTAAAAATGAAGTTTTCCTGATAAAAACCAGAAAGCTGGTTAATTCAAGTTTCTAGCCAAGCAGAAACACCACAGGCAGTAGAGACTACAGGTCTATTACTGTAAATGTCAGCCACCAATGACACATCTACTGTATAATGAAATAACACCAAGTGACTTGCATTTAAAACAATTATTTATACAATAGCAACAAACCTTGTTGTTGAATGATTCTCAATCAGGTACCATGCAGCAGAAAAGTTTTCACTAGTGAAATCAGCACTCATCCCAGGAAACAGTGCCTCTAAATCTTTTTGAGGAAATCTGCCTCTGAAAAATGAATATTCATTTCTTCAGTAAGACATATTCTGGTGAACGATTTACAATTAAACATGTCACATAAAAAACCCCAAAAAACCAAAACCCAAATCATGTTCTGACAAGATTTAAGTATAAACTTTTATCTCACCATGAAATTAAGTCTGGTATTATAGACACATGTAGAGTGACTGGGAAAGAAAAGATTGAAACCTAATCTAAGTAAAACTAATTTTACCATTTTGATTTCACCATTACACATATGACAGAAATGTTGCCTGTACAAAATGCTTCTAAAGAAAAAGAACTGCTGCCTTCCGAAAGTGGGACTAGGCAGACTCACCGGGATACTACTAACATTCAAATGCAGGGCCACTAATGCTGAATGTACTCAAAGTCAGCTCTACCTTTTAAACAGGAAAATCAGTACACCAAGCCAAGTAAGAGAGAATATTCTCTATAAGCCATCAACCAGTATCTATCTAACTTTAAAATGACAGGACATCGCCAGGTTGACAGCTTATAGGTGATCTCACACCATTATCCATTGATCCATGCACAGCACAAGTCCCACAGAAACATGAAGATACACAGTGCATACTTCCATTATATAGAAACACTGAAAGAAATCCCAAGTTAAAATCATCCTCTCGCAAAACAGAGTACACTGATCTGTCTGTTCATAACACATGAAACAAAGGAAAAGTGGGCATGTCTTGAGCAAGAAACAGTCTTACAAGGCATAAAGATAGCATGCAAGCCAATCCCTTGTGAAAGCAGTTTCTCTACAGCAGTATTTTTGAAACTACAAGTACCTTCTAAGATACTAATACAGAAAATGTATTCCATTTATTTTAAGTCAGTGTAACAAAAATATTTAAAGCACTTTTTGAAAACATGACAATCTTCATCCCTCAGTCCAGACACACACTTAACTCCTGGCCATATCCATTCCACCATGCACTCTCAGTACCTCACCAGGTAGAGTCACCACTCTATTCTTTACCACCAGCTGCATCTCATCTTCAGAAACTAATTGTGGCAAACAAGTTTACTTTTGGTCAGCCCTGAATTGGTCAGGCAGTTGGACTAGATGATCATTGTAGGTCCCTTCCAACTGAAATATTCCATTCTAAAAATTTACTATGTCATTTTTGGATCACAACATCAAACTCAAAAGTCAATAAAATCCCTCTCTGATGCTCACAAGCTAGGCGAACTCTGCTGTAGAAAGCACCCTGTACACAAATGCAAACCTGTGTACTTTGCATTTGAGATCTAACTTGCATGGGGGTAGCAACCCAGACTCAGCTACTGGAATTACATTTAGTATGTATGAAAAGCCATTTGAATGGACACGAAAGCAATGATTTGTTAGTTTTGTTTTTTCTGTAATCTAAACATATTTCAAGATAGCTAAAGCTGGTTTTATTACAAAAAACAAACAGCAGATTAAGTGAAGCAAATCTAAAGGCAGCACATTGAAAAGTACAATTATATAAAAACAAGAGTTGTTTTCTGTAAGTTTCTACTCATATCCAAATGGCCATTAGCACAAGCAGGTACAAAGGACCTACATACAAAATGACATGGCACAGAAGTCTTTTATTAGTAGCACATGATTACAGCAGGGACATGAAGCAATACTTTTTAAAAAGCAGCAAAAAAAAAAAATCATGTGAGATGCAAGGAAAAGTGATGATGTGAAAAGTAGAGAGGCAAAGAAAATAGTGAGAGAAACAGAAGTAGCAACTAAAAATGAAGGTCCCAACATTTCTCTGTGTTCAAAAAGTGATAATGTTAATATAAAAATTTATAAACATAAGTAGGGAGATTCAGGATTACCAATGACCTCGAATTTCATGAATGCCAGTTAGTTAGCAGAAGATGCTGATGGATGTAAGGAGGAGAAGAAAGTTTAAATTTATCCTTCCCTTAAAGACATTTTAAGATATCTTATTTTTCATTCAAAGTAGTCAGAAGTGCCCAGGAGGCACATGAATTTGTAGGACAGTAAGTCACATGTGATACATGGCATGGCTGTCCAAAAAAGCTTTTATATTAAATCCACACATGGTGGCATCTTTGTGGTCAGCTACGTTTTTTTAATGCTAAAACCCCAAAACAATAAAAAACTTTCAGTTACCTCAAAAGAGACTCAGACCTTAAGCGCAAGCACTATAGAAGTGCATGCACACAATACAGAAGCAGAATTTTGTTCATATTTTTCAGAACTTCAATGTATTTTCTCAGAAGCCAAAAGAAACAGATATAACACAAAAAGCACACACACTTGACAAATATACCTTTACCAAATGCTCCTTATTATTGCAAGATTGTAAAACATATGCAAGACAGTTTAAGCTTATGCATGAGCTATACAATTCCTAGGGGAAAAAACCCTATATTTTATATATATTCAGATAAAGACCAATAATTTAGCTAGGGATGTAATAAATCCCTGCAAATGAGTTTTGCCCACAGACAGTGGGACAGAAATGAAAGGGTTTTTTTCAGTTTGATGTTTGACTGCATTGAAAAGTTATTAGGAGCTTTTTTCCAGCAGATGTATTTGTGCAGAACCATAAATTAGCAATGCGTTTATGGGTGCTTTTATCTGTGTGGACATATTTTAAGACAGTCACAACAGAGTAGAAACATGAACGCGAATGTGTGCGGTATGTTAACAATATGTTATACTCTGTGGTGCAGTGTCCTTATTTTTACCATAAATTTTACCAGTAGTTTTTCCACTAACAGATATGGGGAGCTTGGAATGACTTGCTACAGCTGTCTTCACCACAAGCTGCTCACTGAAAAGTTCAAACTCAAAGCAACTGTATTTCTTAAATGTCTGGCTAGATGCAGCTAAAAAGAGACTGACTCCACATAGACACAAGTTGGTTCATTAACTTCCATTAGTAGATTTAATAAATCTTTGGAAGTTGTCCTCATGAAAACTTGCTTACTGTTTACTTGTAAACAAGCACATATGTGACTTGAGAAAGTATTTCACATTATGGGGTGAATATGAACTAGTACAAAAGCTGATACCATGCTGACACGCAATGAAATTGTTGATTGTTTTTCTGTTGATTCGCTCCTTATACAAGAATCACTTCAGGAAGCAACCCTGAATACTTAATCATTGATTAAAAAGCAATCACTGTAAAAGAAACTGGGAACCACAAACTGAATCTAGAAAACCTCAGAAAAAGAGAAGTTTACCATCCTTGACAACTCTACCTATTTTGCTACCTTTAATACTTCAGCAAAGGTACACATATTGGATTTATATAGTAGTATTTTCTGCTAGGCAGACTATTTTATTTAAAACAGAACCAGATCTGGTACTAGACCTCTAGTTAACATTTTAAAGTAGTCTTATTCATCCATCAGCAACAATTTTAAATATAAAAGTAATTAAGACTTCACATACTGTTTATTTTCATGAGAACTATAATAAAAATAAATGGTTTCAAGCCACTATACACTTTCACTTCCCTCACACGTATTTTGAATATATCTATACAGTCATGCAGTATTAGATGTAGTGGTCCTTGCTTCCATATAAAGGGCATGCACATCTACTTTGGATTCAAAACACATACGGTACAATCAATTCACTTGTGCTACATGTGCCCATCAATACAAGTCCCTCCCTCCACAACCCCAAACTTTAGATTCTGTATAGCCTGATACTCAATAAATCTAATTTAACATCACAGCATATATTGGCTCTTACAAATTCTACTGCAGAACTTGTGCATATACAGAGGATTTATATTCTCTAGAGGTTTAAGATTAGCTGTAATCTCCATGACAGCCTCCAAGCAGTCAAAATTGAGTAACAGCAACAGAATGCAATGGACACAAATGAACAGAGCTTGACTATGAATGCAGCTTAGCAAATTGTAGTTTTTCTGTAAAGATTATTTTGCTCCCGGAGTTTCAGAATGTCATAGCATGCTTTTCAGCATACATAACAATATACACAGATTAAAGGCAGGTCCCAAAACGGGATACAGCCACCAAAGGTAACTTGAACCTCAATTCCACAGGACTTTATAGGTCAAAAGGAGCAACTTTATATAAACACAGATTCTGAATAGCAACCAGCATAAACAAGCTCCAGCTAGAGCTGCTGTACACCCCCGCCCCTGTCTGGTACCAGTCAGACTCCTAGAAGCAGGCTTTGTATCAGCTGTACTGTGTTAATCATGCAGGCAAGAAGACCAGCATAAGGGACACTGAAGTAGACTAAACATGACAAATCAGAAGGTGTTAACAAAGGTCTCTGCAACAACCAAAAGACAAGGATGCACTCTGGCAATTAATGCCTAGGAGGTCTATCTGAAATACGACAGCAAAATGACAACCGTATTTGAAAAATGGTAGAATGTGATAAGAGAAATCTACTAAGAGATTATAGGCTGGTAGCTGCAACTGATGCATCAGCCTTGCAAGCGGTAAGTGTTACTGTATTTTTTAACATCATAAAACTAGGACTATATACTACTATACACTGCCTCTCTCCCACAGGTTTCACAATTTTTCCGCATGCATCTCTGTGATAAAAGTTTCCACAAGTCCATCACGTTCAAGGATGAAATTGACTGCATTTCCATACAAGCCACTTAAAAAAAATATCAAAGCCTCCAGAAAGTCTTTTCCTATCTCATGGTAGCTGGCTGACGTTTACCATTAGGTGGCAGCGTAAGATCATTTGTTCCCTCCTCCCAGATGAACTGTTTTGGAAGCTGGTGTGGGAAGAGGGAAGCATCTGTATTGAGTGGGTGGATACAGAAGTATGTGGAATGTACTTAGCATGTCAGCATTTGCTTTCATGTACAAGACTGATCCACCATAATGACCTCTGCTACATACCAAACAACAAACACTATTAAAAAATTTTCTAACCACCACTAGGTCTGACTGCTGTTACTGCTTTGCAGAGAAATGGATTTTCTTAGTCTGACAGAGTAGGTAGAGGAGGCAGGGAACATTTGATT